CCCCAAAACCCCAAAACCCCAAAACCCCAAAACCCCTACTCAATTAGGGCTAATTGAAAATGTATAATTCAGAATTCGGGTAAATATATGTAAATAATAACATTCCGACAAAAATATGGAGTTCTAATTTTTATCATTTTACTGCAGACATTCAACAGATCTTTCTATTTAGTTTAGATTGTTTTAATTGATATTGAAGAAGAGAATGAGCTTTGCCTTTTTGATGAAAACAGTCAGACTAGCCAAAGTTAAGATAAGAAAAGGAAGAGCCAGAGAGACTAAAGTACCCAATTTTAGTGATTAAATTGCGAACCCCACCAAATAGACCCTGAGAGACCTTGATAGAGTTTCTTAAGAAAGGAAGTTCATGGCCTTCCACTTGGTTTGGGGAAATATGGCATGTGTAGAAGAAAGATATTTAACCATCAAAACTACCATTTTAAACTCCTGTAAATTTCTTCTAAGAGACGAATCACTTCTTTAACTGAAATTCCGGTTATTTCAAATTCTCAGTCAGATCTATGTGAATTGGATAAATCAATAGCAAGTAAGAAAAGAGATTACAAATCATAAAACAGAAGAAAAAGTCAAATTCAAACAAATCGAAGAGAGATTGCAAAGACAAGAAGATGAATAAGAAGCCAGTTATTAAACCCAGCTAAGGTAAAGAAGATACAAGAAGAACCAACAAATGTAGAATAGAAGGTCAATCTGAAGGATTATCATAAACTTAGGAGATAGACAAACTGATAAAAGAATTCAGGTTCAGGTGGCATGGCCGAGGAGCTTGAAAATACAGCAAAGTAGTTATTTAGAATCCATTTGAGTGGGGTTTCCATCAGCATCAATGATTCCTTATGAGTAAAGGGTTTTGAAGAATTAGTTGTCATCAGTTAGATCATCAATGTGCTTCTTCTTTTCCTCAATGATGTTGGTAAAATTTTCTATCTCCATTTTAAGAATTTCAAATTCTTCGCAGCCTGCTCAAGCTTCTCCTCGTTTAGCTCTGAATTTCTCTCTTTTCTCCTAAGGTTCTTTTTGATAAATTTATAGTTTTTGCCCTTTCTCACTAAACATAGGAATGATTTCTATCTCCATACTTGCTACCATCCAAGAAGACTTTAAGACTCCTGCAATGTTAATCGAAATATTTATGCTGAGATTTCTTTCCTTCAAAAGTGTTTCTTTTCTTGCATTCAAGATCTTCTTCATTTTTCTTGGAACCCATCTGGATCTAATGAGTTGCTTATGGAAGTTAATTAAAACAAAGAGAATACATAGATTTCCGAGAAAATATTGTCAGATACTTGCTTCTGCCAATTGGAAGGCAGATAGCGTTCACCATCACACTTCTCAATGATGAACTTCATCTAATCATCTGATCTTAAGCTTGCAATGTAGGATACACTACAGAAATTCAGGTTTTATACTTACAGAACCTATATTGCTACTCAAAAGAACTCTCAACCAAAAATTAAAACCTTTTGTTCACAAAATCAGATATCACTGATGAATTCCATGGATGCCTTCTTTTGAAAAGTAAGATATATCCTCCCTCCACAGTCAGTAGTCTCTAAATCTCAGAATTCAACTGTGCCTTTGTTCCTCCTGATTTGGGATAGCTTCTTTAAATTTCATCTATATGTGCTTTTGGTAACTTCCAAAGCAGGAGAGCTAAATTTTACAAACTCCAATGTCCTTTTATATATAATGAAAGCTATCAGAAATCATTGAAATATAAAAAATGCCAGTTTGTGAACCAATTTCTGAAGGAAGATTTCACCAGGTGAAGTTTAACACTACAGATTAAATTTTTGTAGAATTATAGATCAGACGATCAGCATCTGATGGTAATATTTTTGGATCGAAGGAAATAAGAAAGAGAATGAACCTACTCCTACTTTCTGATAAATCGGTAATCCTCATAAAGAGACTGAGCCTTGAATAAGAACTTGCTAGATCTCTTTCCCTCAGAAAAAACTTAAAAGAAAAATATTTTGGAGTTCGAAGTTTTGTGGTTTCTATGATCAGTTTGAGAAGACAGATTTATAGTCGAACTTGGGGTTTTATGGAGAAAAACTAAGATGCTCAGAACAAGAAGGAAGAAATCTCGATCACTATATTCTGAAAGATAAGGCCAAAAATGTCAATAAAGAAGAACTCATTTCTGAATCCAATCTCTTGAGTGAAGGACTCAAAAATTATGTTGAAGAAAGTAGCATTCCGAAACTCTTCAACAATATTTTGGATCAAGTTCTGAGGGTTGCTCCTTCAACACTTATCAGGCTCTCAAATGAAATAAAAGAGTTGGAAAAGAAGAAAATATAGTATTTTAAGAGTAGGAATGAGCCCCAATGCTTGATAATTGCAGAACAGATTATGATCAGGACCTTTGCTGAGCCTCTAACGTTTCCTATGGCAATTGACATAATTTAGAAACTTGTTAAAGATGGTTAAGGCACTAGTCCTTCATACAATAAAGTAAGGAACTTTTCATAGAAATAATTTAAGTATAACTTAAAAAAATAAATAGATCATTCGTAAACAAGAATCCCGGATCTATCTTTTTGCAGAGCCTCTTTTGATCAAAGGAGTTGGAGTCTTTGAGAAATGAGTACTGAGTAGTAGATTTGACTAATGCTCCTTAGATAGGTTTGTAAAGGTTCATTACTCCTGGCTCCCACAAGGAAAGCTTCATCCTATCATCAACCAGACTCGAGAGGAAGGGTATCTGTTAGTCTTGGCTTGGTTTTCAATGAGCACTGGGTTAGAATAGTCATAGATGGAACCAACAATTCCAACACTGTTTGGTGCTTCTTTGAGACTCTACCTAAATACTTAAGAGTGCTCACAGTAGGTGATGAGGAACCTGTTAGAATGATGGTTGATGACTCTTCCCTTAGCTTAGCCAAGAGAAGTAGAACAATACCAACATTAATGAAAATCCGAATTGCTAAATCTTTCTACATACTAACCTCATTTAACTCTTGTGGGAGTAATCTTTGAAATTGCTAAGAGGAAGATATACACAAAAAAGCCTCAAGGAATAATGAATTTTTGCAAATTCATCGGAAAGAAGCCCACATGAAAGAAGTTTCAAGAGAGAGGCTTCTACTGGAACAAAGATTTAGCCAAGATTTGCCAAAGAAGCTATCGATACCATAATAAGAGCACGAAACTAAGCAAAAAAATTGGAAACACTCTAAAATATGAGCATACAAGGCTCTGAAAAGCTCATAGATAAAGAAACCAAAGAAAAAGATAATAAAGAAGGAATCAAAGAACAGCATTAAGAAGCCATTAAATCTATAACTTTCTCTAAAAAATTAATATTCAATATATTTAGCTTTGTAAGGGGTTTTGGGGTTTTGGGGTTTTGGGGTTTTGGGG